TTTCAAAACTTTACACACAAATCCAAGAATTGCACACACAAAATGCAAAATGCCTCACATCTCTTGCCAAATGAAGCACTGCATTCAAAATATCACAAATACATCTCAAAAGCAAACATTTGCAAACACCTTTACCATAATTTTAATTCCTGTTAGATTTTTGTTTTACATAGAGAATTGTGTGTTGTGTTTTGCAAAAAGTGTTTTATGAAATTGGAAACGGAGTCAAAGGCCGAGAATTAGTGTATGGTTTTGAAGATTTGGTGTGTGCTTCTGCTGTTTGAGTGTCAGCTTTCAGAAATTGTGTGACAAGGAAAGATTGTGTCTGTAAGCGGTTGAAAAAAACTGTAAATGCTTACACACAATTCAAATAGACAGATGACTTTCCTGCCCAGTGAACACGGAGATCAATAACACTGTAACAAAAAACTCTTACTAGGATTCAGGAATTATTTTTGCAGCTCAATGTCTATTACAGTATACATACATTAAATTACAGATACAGATGTATAATTCAGCAATGAACTTTTGGGAAAAAATCATTTTCATTTTAATACTTTAAAGTAATCTTGCAGTAGATGAAAAGCACTAGAAAAGTTCAAATACCAAAGAATTGTATGAACTTGGTATGCACCACAAAACAGTACAGTAAAAAATAAAATAAAATAAATTTAGCATCCTCTGCACATTCTGCCAAATTTCATTACAGTATACAGTACTATAGCAGTTTCTTGGTCTCCTGACACAAGACTAGCTATATCTCTAGGCAGTCATTCTCAGTTCTGCAAAAATGCAGTACACATAAAAAAATGGGGAAAAAAAGTGCCAACTAAAATCAGTATATTAACAATCGAGAAAACTACAACTAGATTCTTACCTAACTCTGCTATTAGTTTCCGTGATCGGCATCTTCTTATTGATTTCGTGTTATTGTTACGGCTTATATCCATGATGAAAGTAAAGCGAGCCGCGAGCGGTCGGAGAATCGGATCACCAAACAATTACGCGATGAATATGAATCTCAGACATATCCGGACGGGATTAGATTTCTCAGAGGACTTCTGAATTACCTGAAAAGCAGTAATTATCTGATTCACGAACAAATGTAAAAACAATTCGTTAGTGAACTGGGCCACGCTTTGTGGTTTTGACTCAAAAAGATCCGGTTCATAAGAGCCATTTGTTAACGAAGCCGACCTCACTGGCACGCTGCGTGCACATTTATATTTTATTCTGTGATAATTCTGGGGTGGCAACTGCCACCCTAAGAAAAAGCTGAGCCACCCCAGTAGATCCGCCCCTGCCTACACTGTAAATAGGTTGCTGTAAATTTTACAGTAACTTACTGGCAGCTGGATGCCAGTAATTTACTGTAAAAAATGTTTACAGTATTAGTACTGTAATTGCATTTACAGTACAATAATGTCTTTACTGTATTTTATTTACAGTATTGCCGTATTTTAATTTACAGTATCAGTACTGTAATTGCATTTACAGTACAATATGTCTACTGTATTTTATTGACAGTATTATTACTGTATTTTCATTTATAGTATCAGTACTGTAGAGTTTATTTTCATTTAGTTTAAAAAAAAATTACCTGTATCGCGGGCAAGTTCACTACTGTAAATTGATTTACAGTAGTGAGGAAATGCAGTAGTGACCGTATATTTTCCCACAATCCTTTGCGATTTACAGTAAAATACTGTATACACATTTTACAGTATCTTACTGTACATATTACAGTATAATACTGTTCAAATTACAAAAATCAGTTACAGTGTAAGCATAATTTTACATGGGGGCCCCTCAGTGCCACCAGTACGACTGATAATTGTCAATGCTTGATTATTCGCACACTATAAATCTAACACACACATTATCAGTTTTATTTGTTGTAGCTGTGTTTCTTGCATCATACCAATGTCTGCCTGCTATGTTTTTACCCTTCTACGATTTTTAATTGTAACAGTAGCAAACCCACAAGAGTGGTCAGGTGTTAATTTGCACTTTAACATTCAAAGTCTTACAGTACTAAGTGGCATACTTAATGAGGTGTACTAAAAAGTAGCTAAATAAACCAGCAGACAATGCATTTACAGAACGGAATGATATTTTAACAACATAAATGATTAAACACACATCTAAAACAACAACTCTTAATCTCCAACTAGCTAACTGAGGCATGATGATATTGGAATATAGCAAAGACCCCAAAGGTAGGCAAAGGTAAATAATGTTAAGCTGTTATCAGTACCAAGTTTATGAAACAGAAGCTTGCCAGGCTACCTTAAAATGAACGAACTCAGATTAGGTGGGAGTGGGATACAAAGCTGGAACGAGGAGCAGCTGACTAAAGTAAGATAATATTAAAGTGAGTTATTTATTTTTACTGTGCAGGTGTAAAATGTAAGATGAAAGCTAAAGGCTATTTTACGCAAGTAACCTGAGACATTCTCTTTCATAGGTTCACTCAACGCTGCATAGCTATGATTCTGCATAGATAGAATCTGGGAACCAGGAGCTGCATCTAAATCCAAGCTATAAAACCTGATAAAAGTGTGAGGAGAGGACCATTGTGCCACCACACAGATATCCTCCAGGGGAACCCCTCTGAAAAGAACTTGAGAGGAAGCAACACTCCTGGCAGAATTAACTCGAATGCCTAGCAGTGAAGAGATACCTCGCACCTCATACACAAGCGAGATAGCGTCCCTTACCCAATGAGAAATCCTATGTTTTGATGCGGCGAGCCCTCTGCGGCCAGCACCAAAACACACCAACAATTGAAAGGACTTGCGCCATTGGCTAGAGTGGTCCACATAGAGCTTCAAAACTCGAACAGGGCAGAGCAGGCCCTGAAGCCCCTCGTCCTCAACAGAAGCAAAAGGAGGAGGACAGAAGGAGTGAAGCATGACCACCTGGGAGCGAAATGACGTGGACAAGACCTTGGGGCCATAACTGGATCTGGGCCGTAGGAATACCTTAACAAGGCCCGTAGCAAACTCCATGCATGACTCTCTAATAGAGAGAGCCTGCAAATCCCCTACGCGTTTGATAGAAGCCAATGCCAACAGGAGCGTCACCTTAAGCGTCCAATAAGCTCCGATAAACCCTCCAGGACGATAAACAAGTCTCTGGAAGGAACACTGGCAGGGCGCACTGGCCTCAAATGCCTAACCGCATGCATAAACGGAGAGACCAAACGATGTCTACCTAGGGAGACTTCATCCACATCCCTGCGAGCAGCAATAGCTGCAACAGAAACTCTCAAGGTGAGAGCCTTTCGGAATGAGGAAATAGCGACCGAAGAAGCCGCGATTCACGTCCGAAGGAGGGACCTCCATATCGC